AATCACAATTCTGGAAACCCTGTCCTGCCCTCATAAGTACTGGTGAGCTCTTCCTGACTGATCCAGGCAATGGACCTGCATCTTCAGAAAGTCAACTGACCATTCAATGCTCAACCACTATTGACAGTCTGGGAGTTACTACTGACTGGAAAACGAACCATACTTGCCATATAAATGTAATGACGAGAAGAGTATGCCAAAGACTAGGAATCCTGCAGAAGTCCTGACTCCCCAAAGCCTGTCAACTATCTACCTGGCACAAGTCAGCAATAGGATGGAATACAGCCCATTGCTTGCACTGAACACAACTCCTAGAACACAACAATCAAGAAGATTGACTCCATCCAAGATAAATCAGCCCACTTGACTGGTACCACAACCACAAACATTCAATCCCTCCATCACCAATGTTCAGCAGCAGCAGTGTGTATTAGCTACAAGATACATTGCAGAAACACACAAAAGATCCTTAGAAGTATCTTCCAAACCAACTCCGTCAGCATCTAGAAGGAAAAGGGCATCAGACACATGTGAATGTTGTCATCTGCAAGTTCGCCTGGAAGCCACTCACCATCCTGATTTGGAAATATACTGCTGTTCCTTCAGTGTTACTGGGTCAACATCGTGGAACCCCCTTACTAACAGCATTATGGGAGTACCTACATCATACAGACTGCGGTGGTTCAAAAAGGCATTTCACCACCACCTTCTCAAGGGCAACTAGTAAAAGGCAAAAAATGCCAGCCCAGCCAGTGATGCTTACATCCAACGACAAATACACAAAAAAGATCCCTGTCTGCCCTTCTAAAACTGCAGGCCATCAGGGAGATACTGACTGGCATTACTATTTTTTTTAATCAATGGGTTTCTCCATCAATTATGTAGCCATGCATCATAAAAATATAGAAATATAGAAAATAGGAGCAGGGGAAGGCCATTCGGCCCTTTGAGCCTGCTCCATCATTCATTCTGATCATGACTTAGCATGCATTTCAATAGCCTGGTCCCATTTTTCCTTTAGATGCTACATTCAACTCTTTGTTGAAATTATATTAAGTTTTGTCCCTGACTACTTTCTATGGTAGTGAACTCCCCAGACTCACCACTCTCTGGATGAAGAAATTCTCATCTCAGTCCTAAATGTTTTACCTCGTATCCTGAGACTGTGATCATTAGTTCTGGATTGCCCTGTCATCTGGAACATCTTTCATGCATCTACCCTGTTTAGTTCTGTTAGAACTTTGTAGGTTTCTCTGAGATACTCCCTCATTCTTATGGACTCCAGCCCACATAGTGCTAATTGATTTAACCTCTCCTCATACGTCAGTCGAAACATCCCAGGAATCAGTCTCGTGAGCCTCTGCTGCATTCCATTCCAGAGTAAGAACATCTTTCATCAGATAGAGATCTAAACTGCACACAATATTCCAGGTGTGGTCTCACCAAGGCCCTGTACAATTGTAGCAAGACATCCCTGCACTTGCACTCAAATCCTCTATCAGGGCCAACAAGCCACATCTTCTTTACCTCCTGCTGCATCTGCATTGACTGGTGTACGAGGACACCTTAAATCTCTTTTCACATCCCCCTCTCTAAATTTATAGCCATTCTTCCTTGGAGATTAAGAAAAGTCATTCACTCGAGACACTTTTAGGCAGAGTCTCAAAGTTGGTTTAGTTCTGACAGGGAATGTACAGAAAACCACAGGCAAAATAGCCTCACTAAATCCTGGTTTAGTATGTGGGTGGAGAAGGATTTGAGACATCATTTCTGTGTGGTCTACATAAGGATCAGCCTCCGAAACCTGGAGCACATATATCCTTAATAACTGAAACTTCTCATCCAAATTAAGATTTAGCAGGGAAAAGAATCCAAAATAAGTCCAAAGCGAAAAAGTTTTACAACTTTAATTTTGCCTTTCTTAAGGAATCAGTAGAGTCAGCAATGCATCAAAGTGCAACAAGCCTTAATTCAATACATATTCTGGGGAGTTCAGTTGCTTGCCTCTGAAAATATGCATGGGAATTCTGGTATGCCACTAAACTACACCCATTCATTGTGTTGAAGACAGAGTGATATATTGGTGCTGCCTGTTGCTTTAATTAATTGCAGCTTGCATTATGCTGTTCCATCAACTGTCAGTATTATTAAGGATACCCTCTGATATTTTCAGTCACTTAAATTATTTATTCAGCTTTTATGTTGTAATAAGAAGCTGTGTTGTGGTTGCAAGAAGTGGTGTGAGTTTTTTGAAAAATAAATCTGGAATGTGATACTTTGATGTATGGTTAAACATACAAAAAGGCAAGCATGAAGGCTTCCCAGCAATTTTTAAGATCCCAGCTGATGTTATTATGGGACAAGTCAGATTCCAGACTGAAATCTGGCTTGAAAGATTATGTTTTGATTTGTTTTTTACTTAACAATGTGATCTTTCACTGAAATGAAAGCACACAATGCTACAAATTTGGTTTAAACAATACAATAGAAGTTTCTTATGCAAAGACTTGCCACTTCAGCTTGGGGGAACCGGTAGAAAGTTTGCAGGCAGTTTTAAGCAGTTTTTTTTTGTGATTCATTCCTACTTGATAGCTCTCAGGAAGTAATTCCCATCTCTGCCCCTCTCCTTTGCCAAATCATTTCCTTGGACCCCTCCCATTCAGCCATAGCACAATACATTGAAGAACAATAATCTTCCAGGTTTTGTTAGACAGATATAAATTTTTAATCACATAGATATGGGCTTTAATGGAACACATCTTCCTGCTCTGCCTTACATCTTCCATGAGGCTGCATGAGATTAATTCATGTGATGTTGCATCACTTCCTGTGATGATATTTGCACTGTATTTGATTAGCACATTATACAATTAGAATTTAGGCATTAACAACCCAACAATATAACACCCAGCACTAGAGTCATAGAGTCACAGAGTCCTACAGCACAGAGACAGGCCCGTTAGCCCAAACTGGTCCATGCCAATCAAAATGTCGATTCACGCTAACCCCATTTCCCTGCATTTGGCCCATATCCTTCTAAACCTTTCCTATCCATGTATTCGTCCAAATGCCTTTTAAATGTTGTTAATGTACCCACCTCAACCACTTCTGCTGGCGGCTCATTGCATTTGAGCACCACCCTCTATAAAAAGTTGCCTCTCAGGTTGCCATGTATTTTTTCCCCTCTTACCTTAAACTGTGGCCTCAAGTCCTCAATTGCCCAACCCTCAGGAAAACGACTGAGTGCATTCACCCTATCCATGTTTCTCATTATCTTAAATACTTCTGTAAGATCACCCCCTCAGTCTCCTTTGCTCTAAAGAAAAAAATCCTAGCTTGTCCAACCTCTCCCTGCAACTCAGTCCCTTGAGTCCTAGCAACATCCTTGTAAATTTCTTCTGCACTCTTTTCAGTTGAAACACATCTTTCCCACAGCAAGATGACCAAAACTGAATACAATACTCCAAGTGCGGCCTCACCAACATCCTGCATAACTGCAATATAACTTCCCAACTTCTATACTCTATGCTCTATCTAATGAAGGCCAGTGTGCCAAAAGCCTTCTTAGTTGCCCTACATACCTGTGACTCCACTTTTAGAGAACCGTTCACCTTAACTCCAAGGTCCCTCTGTTCTATTACACTCCTTAAGGCCCTACTATTCACCATGAAAATCCTACCTTGATTTGACTTTCCAAAATGTAACAACTCACACTTATCTGTATGAAACTCCATTTGCCATTTCTCAGCCAATTCCCCAGGTGATCAAGATCCTGCTGCAATTTCTGATAACCTTCCTCACGGTTCACAATACTGCCTATTTTAGTGTCATCCACAAACTTACTATTCATGCCTTGTACATTCTCAGCCAAATCATTGATATAGATAACAAACATCAATTGGGTCCAGCACAGACCACTGAGGCACAGGCCTCCAGTCCGACAAGCATCCTTCCACTATTACTCTCTGCTTCCTACCATCAAGCCAATTGTGTATCCAATTTGCCAGCTCTCCCAGGATTCCATGTGATCTAACCTTTCACAGCAGCCTACCATGTGGAACCTTATCAAAGGCCTTACTGAAATCCATATAGACTATGTCTACCACCCTGCCCTCATCAACCTTCCTGGTTACTTCATCAAAGAACTCTAACAAACTTGTGAGGCATGATCTCCCATGCACGAAGCCATGCTGACTACTCATAATCAAACCTTGTCTTTCAAAATGTATATATATCTTATCCCTCAGAATCTTCTCAAGTAACTTACCTATGACAGATTTTAGGCTTACATCTACCTTACCACAATTCTGCCCCTACTCTTAGCATTGGAGATGTCCATTTGTTCACTTCCATTATCTATAGCCTTGAGGACTTTGCTTTTCATGCTCCCACTTTCCTTTGATTGCTGCCACTTCATTCTCCCTTACCCATGTGTTATAGGTGACAAGGGATATAGATCAGAGGTAGGTAAATGGAATTGAGGGGCAGGTCAGTCATCAATCAATGGATTGTCAGGACAGGCTCACAGGACTGATTGTTTATTTTGCACCCCACATGCCCACCCTGTCATTCCCAAACCTTATTTCTGTCCTTAGGTTTCCACACTACTCAGTTCATTGTAACAGTAGGACATTTGAAGACTAGAGGAACTAATGTACCAAATGTTAAAAAGGCCTGACGTTATTTTCCAGCATACAACATACTGTTGGTTGAATCCCACATGATTGTTAAGGATACAAAACTTGGTCAATGGATGCGCAGGGAATGTCTTACACACTCCCGAAACAACAAGCATTATGGAACAATATGAGCCCTTTTCTGGATCTATCAGAAAGGCCTTCCAAAAGGTTGCAGCTGAGGTGCTTCGATTTACTTTTGCTCAAGCATGGTTTGTTGAGGTACTACCATGAGGAATTGAGATTGTTACAGACTGCAGGAAAGAGGAAAATACAATTGCAATTGTAGTAATTGCAATGTCTTCTGCTCTGTGATATGAACAGGAAAATGAAGAGGAGGAGGCATAGAGGGGAACTTTATCAAGGTAAGAAATTGAGGGATGTCTTTTTAAAGCACGATGATAAAAGGGTCGTCTGGGGTCCTCAGTCTTCTAAAGCAGTATGTCAGGAGATGTGTATCGGGAAACTACACTTTACTAAGGAGTTTGTGATAGAGTCATGTCACTTCCCGCATGATGACCTGGTATTTTAACCCAGGATCATACAGGCTCCCAGTCACTGTGATCATGTGGTTTATGTTGCATGGCACTGGACTCGTCCAAATAGGAGCAGGCAATATCAACAATATGCTGCCACCATGATGCCAGCAATGACAACCATTTTCAGGCCTCCAAGGTACATGAAGGGTAGCTGCTCAGTCAAAAGGGATATCTGCTTACAAGTAGTTCACGGCTCCCATCTGTCATCTCCCCATGAGATCAGAGAGCTTCATTGAAAGCCATGAAGCTAAATGGAATACCATGGGAAAAGCTATCAGTAAGCTGCAGCAAACATTTTACTCCTTAGATCACTTGGTGGGATCTCTGCAATATGTGCCCAAGAGGATGCTCATGTTTGGGGTGGTGCACCATTTCCTCCATAAGTTGTGATTACCCACTCTGTCTTGGATTCAGGAGACCACTTTGGAGTAGGAAGATGAAAAAGAGGTGGAAATGGAGGAAGAGGGGGAATGCAGGGAAAAGACAAACATGTACAAGAAGCAACTTAAAGAAGCCGTGCTGTGAAACTTCCTTCAGGTGAAAAGAACTTCTCTGCTACTAAAGCAGCAAACTCTTTCCTTTCCTTTGCTAGTTTTGCCAACATCCTTCACCTTTAATGTCCCTATTTCCATCAGAGTATCCAACAATCTGCACTTACTTTGTTGGAATTTCCCCTTTACTATGTAGAAACTGCACCTTTGGAAAGCGAAGTCTTCACGAAGTTCGTCAAAGAAATAACCTTATACCTGGGAAATCTGCAGTAAATCTTTAAAATAGCTAGATCAAGTGACTGCTCATAAAATTATCCATAGCAAGGACAAACTCTACAAATGCAAACTTTGAGCGGAAACATTTGCTTGCAGATATGTGTACAAGAATCATGAAAAGACACACCCAGAAAACAGAGAATTCCATTGTGAGGAGTTTAAGGCTTTGTTTTTGTTAAGTTTGAAGAAAGACAGGTGGCCAAAGCATTAAACAGTAGGACCTTTATTATGTTCACTCTACAGGCATCAAGGTCAGAGAGACTCTTTGTTCCCCCAAAACATCATCATTAAGCCATATGATTGGACCCTTAAAGTGACAGTCCACTAACACAAATGCACAACATTTTTGGACTCCCTATTCCTTGCAGAGACATCTATTAATGTGTTTCAGTAAATAAACTTTCAAATGTGATCTGTGTGACACTCTTTGTGATTCTTTCTGTGCTTAAGAGTGGTAAAAGTATGGGAGAGAAGGAAAAGATTTGCCCATTTTAATTACTTGAAAAAGTGAAGTTGCAGATACACAAGGTGGTGAAGAAGGCATTTGGCACACTTGCCTTCATTGGTCAGAACAGTGAGTATAGGAGTTGGGAACGTCATGTTGAGGCTGTACAGGACATTGGTGAAGGCAATTTTAGAATACTGCAAGTAATTCTGGTCACTCTTCCATGGGAAGGATGTTGTTAAACTTTTGAGGGTGCAGAAAAGATTTACAAGGATGATGCCAGGACTGGAGGGTTTGAGTTATAGGAGACGTTAAATAGGCTGGGCCTTTCTCCCTGGAGCATCGGACGCTGAGGGGTGACATTATAGAGGTTTATAAAATCATGAGGGGCGGGATTGAGTGAATAACCAAGATCTTTTTCCTAGCGTGGGGGAGTCCAAAACTAGAGGGCATAGGTTTAAGGTGAGAGGGGAAAGATTTAGAAAGAACTTGAGGGGTAGCTTTTTCTTGCAGAGAGTGGTGCACGTATGGAACGAGCTGCCACAGGAAATGGTGGAGGCGGATACAATTACAACATTTAAGAGACATCTAGATGGTATATGAATAGTAAGTGTTTAGAAGGAAATGGGCCAAATGCTGGCAAATGGGACTAGGTCAGATTGGGATGTCTAGTCTGCACCAATGATTTGGACTGAAGCGTCTATTTCCAAGCTGTACGACTCTATGATTTTCTGATTCTATTTTAGCCAGACATTTGCTAGGAATGGAACATTATGTGTGCACATTTGAAGCCACACGGGTGAGTGACCCTACCATTCTTATCGCAGTGACAAATCTTTCAGCAAGAATAACAGATTAAAGATACATATACGAACACATGTACAGGGAAAACTTGACTAGTGGTCAGAATGTTTCAACACTACAGTAAAAAACAAGACCCAGATGAACCTACGATATGAGATACCTATCCTTTTCTTGTAAGAGATGTTGACCATCCCCATTAATAAGTTGATTATGCAGAACCACAACAAGACTATTCCCATACTTAGAGAAAACAGGACACTTGAACCCTAAGAAATCACTTGAGACATGTATGTTGGTTGTTTAAAATGATTTAATTGAAAGAAATGTGTTTAGATTAAAGGAGAAAAAGATGTAATTTAATGTTCAATCATTTGGTCAATCTGTTTGATTGTATTATTCTAGGAATTGATCCATGCACACTATGCTGAACCCCAAAAACCTTGAAGCTCTGGCCTGAGACTGCGTGTGCGTATGTGCACGCGCATGTGTGTTTGCATGTGTACATGTGTGCGTGTGTGTGCATGTGTGTGAGAGTGTACGTGTGTGTGTGTATGTGTGTGTAATCTGATGATTTTGAGATACTTTAAAGTACTGTAAATGAAGCTGCTGTGAATTTAGAGCAGGTGTCATCCCTGTAATTCTCTGAACTAAACATACAGAAATCTGTTGAACACATAACATCTGTGAAATCAATTAAATATAATTTAATTGCCTTAGGATTTAGGCATAAGATTTTTTTCCCCCTGACAATTAATTTCAGTTTATTTTATGTAACAGTAATGGTGAATCATTAATGGTATTAAGGAGCAATACTATACATCACAACACACTGAAACTGCTGATGAAAATTGAAATCAATACAGTTATATATAAAAGATACACAAATTATTAGAATGGGCTGCAAATGACTAATTCAGGAGCATATCCTCTCTTATCCTGCCTTGTAAATGGTTACCTTAACAAACCCTGTTAAAATTTATTCATAAGACTGATGATTTCACCCTCCTACAAATCATGCTTCCTGCTAATTCCGGTGGAATAATTTATACCTCCTCTGAAACTATCAAGATACACAAATTGCTAGAATGGACTGCAAGTTACCAATGTAACCTCAGGGCTAAGGCCTTGCACAGTTTTCCAGCTTGTGTATTTTCTTTATCCCATCTGAATAAAAAGAAATGTAAAATCCACTCAATTCAAAGAAAAAAACAGAAAAGGTTCATATTTGTGTCCAATCTCTCCATGTTTTTGCCCTTCCTATCTCCATTAACCTCCTACAATACCCGCAGGAATTCTGTGTTCCTTCAACTCTGAAGATGACCACTTTTTTCAACAATTACAAAGCTAAGGATCAGACAAGGATGGAGCTAATGAGGATGGAAGAACAAAGGCATAAATATGTGATAAGGTGGAGGGTAGGAGTGATTAAATGACAAAAGGATGCAAGACAGAAGTGAGTGGTAAAGAGACAAGTGAAGAAACAGATGATAGGTCCAGAGGAGGTAGAAATGATTCTGGCAGTATAGCAGGAAGGTGAAGTCTACACCCTTATGAAAAAACTTTAAGAATCTTTGTTAAGGTAACCAATTAAAAGGCAGGGTAAGAGAGGATATGCTGCTGCAGCCTTACATACACAGAGCCATGTGACTTGACATCACTAGGACATAGCTCCTTGTGCACATGCTCAGTAAAGATATAATTAACTCTATATTTCGCACGATTCAAAATCGCTTAATTTAAATGATCAAATAATTCATTTGTGGTGTAAAGACAGCTGATCAGATCGATTTGCCAATGGTTGGGTGAGTTTAAAATTATTCTGCTGGTCTTCACGATTGTCGTGGTTCACCTGCTTATTATTTATCTTTTAACTTGTGGTTTAAAGGCCTGGTGAGCATATATGCTCAGCTATGGTTTTCAAAATGACCAACTTCGCCTCATCAAGAACTGGTGCCCATCTCCGCTAGTTATAGCTTTTTGTAATACATACCCCAGGCTATCCGCAAGAAGGAATTCATCCAAGGCTCAGGAACATCTGTTGGTAAACAGCAGTGGTTGCCTCTGGTAAGTAACCAGTGAGATCTAGAGCTTAAGGGCAGATGGATGAGATTTCTGAATCATCAGCCAAATTTGACAATTTTCCCTCTTCTGAGAGAATCATTGCTAGGAGCCTGAAAATCTATTGATGCAGACAAAATGCAAGTGGTTAATGTAGTACCAGTATTTAGCCAATAGGCCTCACTAGGGCTCTTGTTCGAAGTTAAAAATCTCTGTAATTAGACTGAAAATATGCTTTAGCCCACTAATGCATGGATCTCTTTCATGTTTATTACTGAGATAGTTTGTGACAGGATTTGATGCTTTCCCTTTTGTGCTACATATCCATCATCATTTCAAATTTTCAATGTTTGTGCCACTTTATGTCCAATGTTATTATGGGAAGTCATCATCTTGCAGTAGATAATGAGCATCAACTTTACCCCAGTGCGAGATCTGGGCTACGCTACCTTAAACCTGTATAGAATAAATAATCCGTTTTCAATTTGCTAAAAGCTTCATGCTTAAGGAATCTGTTCCAAGCCACTGACTCAAGGAAAGAGGTGTTTGCAAACTGTAACACAGCCTGTCAATATTAACTTTGGATTGCTTTTGCTCACTATGTGTGAGATATTTGTTCATCTGACTCACTGGATGTGAAACCAAAAATCTTTAATATCTCTACTTCATTCAGCACTAATCTGTAGCTTCTTTGTAAGTTTTGTTTGGTTCAAGAGTATCCTTTACTTATGTATATGTAAATCATATTACATCTTTTTGACACCACACGTTATCAATTTCCAGTCACATTTTATACATTCATGGAGTAAATGCCTCTCAGAAACGCTAAACAAACACACCATGTGTGAGACAGATTTTGACAGCTTGTGGAAGTCAAAGGTCAGAACATCATAACACAATTTTTATGAAGACGGATTAATTTTTTTCCCTGTCATGAGGGAACAAAGGAACATCTTTCATGTATCATCCAGACAATTCAATCCTTCCAATTTATTTCTTTCATACTTTCAGGACCTCAGGACATTTCAAATCACTTTACATGCAGGGAGATACTGTTAAAAGTGTAAGACCACAAGCCATAAGAGCAGAAGTAGATCACTCAGCCCATTGAGGCTGCTTCACCATTCAATGAGATCATGGCTGATCTAAATCCTCAATTCCACTTTCCTACCTGATCCCTATAACCCTTGATTTCCCCTAATGGTTAGAAACCTGTCTATCTCAACCTTAAGTATATTTAATGACCCAGCCTCTACAGCCTTCTGCAGTAAAGAGTTCCTCAGATTCACCACCCTTTGGGAGAAGAAATTCCTCTTCCTGTCTGTCCTAACTGGTGAGACTTTACTCTAAGATTATGCCTTCTGGTCTTAGACTTCCCCATAAAAGGAAACATCCTCTACATATCTTCCTCTGAGAATTTTGAATATTTCAGTAAGATCATAGAATCATGAAATCCTCGCATTGTGAAAACAGGCTATTCGGCCCATTGAGTCCACACCAACCCTTCGAAGAGTATCCCACCCAGATCCACCCTCCTACCCTATCCCTGAAACCTTATATTTTCCATGGCTAATCCACTTAGCTCACACATCCCTGGACACTATGGGCAATTTAGCATGGCCAATCCACCTAACCTGCACATCTTTGGACTGTGGGAGGAACCTGGAGCACCCGGAGGAAATCCACACAGACACATGGAGAATGCGCAGACTCCACACAGACAGTCACCTGAGGGTGGAATCAAACCTAGGTCGCATCTCATTCTTCCAAACTCCAGTGAGTACTGGTCCAAGCTACTCAACCTCTTCTCATAACACAATTCCTCAATACCTGGATCAACATAGTAGACTGTTTCTGGACTGTCTGTAATGCCAGTATAACTGTTCTTGTCATAAGGGAACCAAAACTGTCAGTATTCCAGATACAGTCTAACTAGCGCCTTGTATGGTTTTGGCAAGACTTTACTTTTTTATGTAATCCATTCCCTTTGAAATAAAGGCCAAGATACCATTTGTCTTCCCTTTTACCTGATGAATTTTTTTGCAAGCTTTTTGTGATTCATGCCTCTTCTGAGGACTTCCCATTCCCTCTTTACCATAGCTTCA